ACCCGCCCCGAACCCACCCCGTTGCCATCCCTAGATCTACCTCTCGCCCTCTCGGCAACTGAAGTAATAATGTGGATACTATGGAAGAAACAGCCTCATAACTAATATGCTATTTCAAATGTCACAAAATATTTCAAATGTAATGGACTGACTTTAAACGTAAAAAGTTAAAAATAAAAACATCAAATTTGAGATGGTTTCAGTTCCAAATACTACATGATTTCCATAAATAAACAACATTGATCTCTTAGGAAGTACTCATTTGCTTATGCTAATTCATCTTACTAATCAGCTCGTTAATCTGATCCTCGCGATTTCCCGAGTCTCCACCATCCTTAAATGTTCGTTTCTTACCTTGCAATGCCTTTTCAGGCTTGTTCAGATTGAAGGGGCACAAAAAACTGGCAACCTCCTTAAAATGTGGACCAACACTAGCTATTTCATGCACAATGTCTTCTATGCACATAACGCCATGCTGAACCAATGCCTGTACAAACAACATAACAATATGATGTTAGACATCTCAAAAGCAAACAGACTGGTAGTGGGCAACACAGTTCGCAAAAATATTGAGTTACCTGTTCAATGACATTATTGTCTGTTAAAGGAACCCTCTCCTTATTAATTTTAGCTACCCCCTTCTTGTAAATCAAATCCTTTACACTCTTCAGATTAGGATATCTACGTATATGAATGAATATGTTAGGATTTCAAGTATAAGCATTAAAAGTAATACAGAATGGTCAATAAATTTGAACTTGCTAAAAAAACTCAAGGTTCAAAATTTTGAATAAGACTTTCATGAAGAAAATCCAAAGTTCAAACTGACATGCCTTTTGCAATGTAATGTGAAGACCTGAGACTGATCTTATACTAAAAAACTTGCATATGATTGGCAATTCCATCTTACTCCAGTCACCAGTCTATCGTGCCATTCATTTATCAGATATGACTGATCCTCACTACTGAAGATCAACCTCATTAATCTATACATCCAGCAAAATTCTTCCACTCTTCATTTACCCGTAAGGCTTTACATTAAATACGAAGTTTCTACTTAAAAGTAAGCTACTTGAAACAAAAGCAGCATGTTGAATTGCATTCTTAGACAGATCGTGCACCTAAAAAAAAAGGATAATTTGTCCACACACATACACGAGCACACATGCCCACAAAAGCTGATGATATGCTCGTTGAAATCACTTTGATGTTTTCATCACTCAACAAAATTTTTGGTCTTAGATTTAAATCAATAGAGAAAGAATAAGAGAGGGATGAACCAGTACACGAGATTGAAACCCCATTAGCAGGAATCTCAAGGTTCATTCCAATGTTCTTGCACACTAGATGTCTGACCCAAACCAACCTCTTTGCAAACTATCAATCAAAGTAAGGTCAGTCCAAATGCTAAATGAGACATACCCGTAAGTCACATAAGGCTCCACTTTTTGCAAACGTTCTATTATTGCTTCATTTGCCTTAACAAACACTCCGCTGAAGAGTTTCCTCAATCTCAAAGAGTATAGAACTTTTCGAGTTTTGGGGTGCATATCCTGTTTTCTGTAATGAGACACGAATTTTAGGAGCTTAATAAAATAGCCACTTACAAATATGATAATGTAACATTAATCAACTGCGAAACTAACCCTCCTATGCGTATGATAAATAGGAGCTTGGATTTTGGTGTTGCCAGTGCTGGTCTTTTTCGCTTTCCTCTTTGCTTCATTTGAATAAGGTCCAATTCCTAATATATAACAACACATTATCTCTCAATTATGATTCGAACAACTTATAGTGCTTCAAAAATCAAGTTCCTGTCTTAAAATAGATATTATTGAGATGAGTTTTAAGTATAACGGTCGCAGGTAATGAAAAACAGGGGGATGCAGAATAGTGTTGAACTTACTAAAGTGACATATTTATTTTCAGAACACTTAAGGAAGTCATATTTAACCCGTCCTTGCATAAACAAGCTCCAAAATAGACAAACTGTATTCACACCAATGCCAACTCTATAATCTAATGATAAAGTTTTCTTAAACAAATGTGACCTTACAAAACGGTGGCAAACTCAGCCGTCCTGAATAAGAAGATGAATCCATTTAATACCACAGGTGATACACTTATGACTCCAACTCTCAGAGATTATTAGGTACAAAAATTCGAAAATGTAAAACTTCTTCTCATGATTATGTATGATCATAGTACCCAAAAATTAAAGGAAAAACAACAAATATCAGTTACTCCTGGCTCACAAAAATAAATTTTGATATTCTCTATTGCACGAGTATTTAAAAACTGCACAAAAGAGCACATATATATATATATATATATGCTGTGAATTTAGCACGATGATTTACATGTGTGCTCAAATATTGTTTAAATTCATTTCATTTGTACTCTTAATTGAAACAACGCCACAAGTAATCAAAGCCCTACCGTAAAAAAGTTGATAAGGCAAACCGTTTGAAGACACTTTTCACGCCAAAAAAAAAAAAAAAGGTAAAGAGAGGAACAGTAATTATAATTACTTTGTCGCGGTATTCTCTGATAAATTGATCTGGCTTCTTGATGATGAAATTGTCAGACTTGAGACGCTTGACCCTCTCTTCTAACTGCAGTTTTCTTCTGATTGCCCATTCCTCGTTGTTCCTCCTCTTTTTCAATACCACCTCTGGTACGTAATTCAGAGGCTTTGATTCCTCTTCTGTTGCCATGAATTTCAGTACAATTCAACAATTGGTGCCAAGGGGGTGATGAATATGGCCCTTTTTGCCTCTCCCTTAATTCTTAGCGTAATACCGAGGAAGAAACCCTTAGCCGCTTGTCCCCTTTGCAGTGTGACTAAGACCTAAACAGGCATGGGTTATCCTTGGATGGATATGCATGCCTTTTAATTGGGCTTTACAAGATTTTTTTCCACATTCTAATCCATTTCTCTTATGGGCCTCAATCAAGTAGGTTAATAAATAAAAAAGTTAGACCAATCGAATATTTAAATTTTCTTTTGACAAGTGAAGTGATTAATAATTTAAAAAAAAAAAATCTTATATCAGATAGTTAGGAATTTAATTCATTCATTTTTTAAGAATTTCGTTTACAATTTTTTTTAACATTTTTGAAGATGCTCTCGAAATTATGGTAATTTACAAAATGGGTTCTCTTTTTATTGCAATATGGAAAGAGCGAATCATTCATTCGATTTGTACTAATAGAAATAACCATTATATTTTCACTTACTCAATCGGAAGACAACAAATTCGTGGTCATTTACGTTTAAATGAACAATCTCAAATGAAGTTGCTGCAATTATGCCCATGTTTGGGGCAAATTATTTGTCCAAAATAATGAGAATTATAGCCGTTAACCATCAAATCATCTGAAAATTGTTGATTTCTCAAGTCTTGTGTGGGACCCTTTGATTCCAACGGCTGGAATTCTCATTCTTTTGCCCAAAATAATGAGTCTCAAACAGAGGCATATGAGATAGTAGTAGTTAGATACACAATTGTTTTGTCGCATCTCAAATAAATTCATGCAATATGAATTAGTAGCAATGATGCGACTTATCAAATAAATCATGTCTTATGTCAAAAACATAACAAAGAAAATTAGAGCAGCATAACAAATATGTTTCACCTGAAAAGAATTACTTCACATAAAATACGTAAATAAAAATATTTCTCATTTTACAGACTTGGCACCTATACAAATTCCTATTGCGTGTCATAATGAGTGTACGTTACTTTACAATTTTCAAATTTTTAAACAGAAATTGGATCGCACAGAACAGCTCATATTCCAACCAATCAGAAAGCTTTCCTGTAATTCCTCAGATCCTTATTATCATTTGTTTAGTTCCTCCAAGATTATATATATAAACTCCATGGTTCCCCATAACTTGACACTGCATCACTAACATGCCGCCGTTGGTCGCCACCAAATTATTCTCCGCCGCCGCCCCTCAATCCATCTCAATTCAGAAACAAAGATTTTCACTTTTATTTTCTTGAATGTACTGATTCTTTCTTGGATATAGAAAATAGTTGTTTTATTGAATTACATCACAATGATACGCCGGAGAAGATCGACTAAAAGAGGCGGCCGCGGTGATGGATCAGTTCCGGTGTACCTTAATGTATACGATCTAACCTCCATCAATGGATATGCTTATTGGCTTGGACTTGGGGTTTACCATTCTGGGATTCAAGGTGAGTACTCAATCTTGCTTTCCTTCAAAGAATTACATTTTTCGTTTTTTGAATAAATGATTAGATCTACTGTTGAATTATTGCCCTTTTGTTATTACTTGATAAAACAGAGAACCAAGAATTGATATTCTAGTTTCTTGAATCATAATCCATATTCTTAATTCCTTAGTCCTTGATTTTGCTTTAAACTAGCCTCATCTTACTGGTTTTCGCTCTTGTTAAGTTGGATTGGATTGATTTGCCAAACGGCACGAATTTACATTCGAAATTGTTGTGCCGAAGTTTAGATTCGGGTTTATAGGTAAAATACTAAAGAGAGTTTCTTAATGAATCGTGGCAGTTCATGCAGTAGAATATGCATTTGGAGCACATGAAAGCTCAACAACTGGGATTTTTGAAGGAGAGCCAAAACACTGCGAAGGGTTTATATTCAGAAAGTCAATTTTGATGGGATGGACAGATATGACTCCAGGAGAGGTGAGGGGAGTAATGGAAGAATTTGCACAAAAATACAGAGGAAATGCTTATAATTTGATTACTAAAAATTGCAATCATTTTTGCAATGATGCTTGCATTAAACTCACTGGGAATTCAATCCCAAGTTGGGTTAATCGACTTGCGAGAATTGGTAAGTTCTCATTTCTATATCAGTTATTGATAAGAGCGTGTTAGAAGACAATGTGTAAATGATATACGTGTAAACATTTGTCTAACGATATACACATTTTTCGTTGCAAGGCTGGTTCTGCAATTGCATTATTCCAGTGAACTTAAAGTTGATGAAAGTTGGGCACCTTAAAATTGAAGATAAGGTCTGTGAAGGGGAGGAGAAGAATCTGAGAAGCAGTTCGTCTCAATCACATTCTTCACCTCTCCCAACAACCACAGCCAGTCGAAGCAGAAGTTGTTCGCAGGGGAGCTCCACCCCTTGATTATTGGTTCTTCTACTCCACCATGTTTGGTAACACAAGCAGCGAAATTTGTCTATTATACTGATCGGTTTTATCTAAAAATGTCCAGCATTTCAATGAGGCCAATTTACATCTAACTTCGTTGTCCATTTCATTCTTTGCAAAATTTTAACACGAACATGCCTGTAAACTATAGAATTCTTGCCAATTGACTGGGGGTGGTTACATGAATAAACATAAAAGGAAAAAATCACAGTGGAGGCCTCCAACTAATGTGAAATGAAGCAAGCCTCTAATGAGGGATTTGCCTCTGCATCTAATGAGTTTGGATCTCTACACTATATTCAGCACGTTCTACCACAAGTAAACTACACGAATAGATTATAGATCCTAACCACCCCGTGCAGCACCGAGGCATACAAGAGACTTCCGTGTTAGAAAGTGGCTCAAGGTAATTGATTCTGTGATGTAGTTACACCAATTCATCCTGAAGCAAGGTCAGCTCTTATTCAAGTATAGACATTGTTTTGATTTTCTATCCGCAAAGAACCTCAAAGCTTGCTTCTTCCTCCAAAGTAAGATTTAGATCGGGAAGTACAAACTTAGCTTCACATGGAGAACCTGCCTTCTCCTTAGAAGGCCCGTTTGGAGGACAGCAGTGCAGCAAATCATCATTGCCTAGGACAAATGGAGGGAAGATTGGAGGGATATGATGACGAGCTTCTGACTTTTGCTGGAATTGACAAGGAATTGCATTATCAGGTTCAATCATAGATCTTCTTTTAGTAGCCAATTCGAGCTGTACCGAAGAACTATGTCAGTCACCACACTTTCAGAAAATAATAATGATTTGGAATGTAAAGGGAAAGGGGAAGAATGGATCAAAGCAATTGCACCTTTATTCTCTTCAAACTATCATTTGTAGCCTTCTGTTTCTCCAAATTTGTGAGTAATACCGCAATATTCTGTGCCATTTCAGGTGACGAAATTAGAAATTTTATACGTGAATTAGTATATATATAAGCATTGAAAAAGTAGAATACCCTTTTCAATACTCCTTTTTCCTTGTCAAGCAAGTACTCCTCCACTTGAAGTTCTGCCAAGGTCTACAAATCAACACGAAACAACTAAAGTGCTACTTAATTTCTGTTTTCTTTATTGATATGTCAAAGCTTCTAAGGATAAAATGGAAAAAGTAGAGTTCGTCTTGTAAATTTTACTACTAGATTTTTATCCTAAATGGTTTAAGGTGTCCATAGTCCAATGACTGGACTGTCAGAAACCTCAACCCGGGATTTCATGGTATAAATACCACGTGTTTATAACTAAAATATACTTCATGAGCTCAATGGACCCAACAGTAATCACCTTCTTCTTTCTTGACCTTTTTGTGGATTTTTCACCATTTCCATTAACCTGAAGCATAAAATCGATAAAAAATATATCACACTTAGCGAAAATCTCGTTTGTTGGTACTTGTGAATTGTTGAAGTTCAATGTATGTACATTATGAGCTAATTCACAGAATTATCTCAGAAAATTTCTAAAAGAGGAGCTTCAGCAACAATAATCTCAACCATGCGATTAAGAGTCTGTTTTCACATGGCCTGGTAAACGAAGATCAAGGCTGCTATGTGAATCTCAAGTGGATTACTACTGAAATCTATGCCGGTTTACTTTTCTGGTCAAAATAACTAGTTTTAAAGTAACATAATATATAAACTTATTTAATTTCAGTAATAACACTGCTAGAAATGATAGTTTCAACAGGTAAATTATGAAAGATCAATTCGACTAAAAACGTCAACCAGTGTCCATGTCAACTGATGTTGAAAGTTAGACAAAGACAGCCCAGAAATTGTTTTGAATATGACACTATCATTCCAGTACAAGAGTTATGTTTCATGTTGGTGAACATCATTCACTTCACAATTTAGCAGACGCGAAACAAATTTTCTTTCCTATGTAAAATTGAATTTGCAAACAAAGATATGCAAATGTCCTTCATGACCTAAAAGTTACTACATATGGTTAACAGTAAAGACTGAGACAATATTTAAACATGCCACAACAATAAAAAGCAGTACATTTCTCCGTGAAAATTTGCTGGTACCTTTCGCCATTGACGTCAAACACCTAAGATTTAGGTAATTCACAAGCCATATACCGCGTATGTGTCTCCATGTGTGTGCATGCGTGTAAGAGAGAGAGATGTAAGGAAGCCCACAGCTAAGGTAATACTTGTCTGCTTACATAATAGATGTTGGGTCATTGGTGAGAAAAATGGTCCCTCCACTCGACCAAACCTCCCTTCAAATAAATACACAAAGCTAAACGCACACATACTACATAGACCCGTCACATATTTTGGCATTTAGTACTACATTACAGTTTCAGAGCACCATGAAATGGCACTTATTTAAACAAAACTCAGATAAGCAAGATGCCATCATATTATTCAACGAACCACAATGAGTAAAATTTAAACTACAACGCCTCAAATATAATATAAAACTCTAAACAACAAAAAGTTTAAACTACTTCGAAGTTTAAACCTAAACTACACTAACAACATCTAACCAAATCTAGTTGCTTGGACCCACAAGTTAAAAGTAACCCAAAATTCATAGAAAAAGAACACTCATAACACTCTGTCAAGCATATAAATCACAGCAAATAACACCACCTTTAGTCCTTTTACCCAAAAGAAAAAGATGAAGTCAGTATTCTGATATTCTCCGACTTTCACTTCATTAGAAGGTAAATTTCATCTCGACAACAAGGGACTAAACATTATTCTTAATAAATTTGAAGTTGGTTAATTATGTACAGAACCACGATGCAGCCTATCACACTGGATTGTGTCCCCACAATTGAAAAAAGGTTAATCACTCAACCACTAACAAAACTTCACCAGATTGCCATGAAAACACGCCACCGCTTGCAAAAGAGCATCCACACTGAATCGACCAAAATACCCCTCTACTGACTCCAAAACGTGTGACACAAATATTCTTCAAACGACAGTTTCTGTTTTTGCACCCAAATAGAAAAATTCAAGAATTGGATGGGCAAATTACCCTTTGGGTAAGGGGTGTTATTGTAGTTTCATTCTAAACAATGATGGGTTGGACAAAGGGATAACAAGAAAAAGTGACAAGTCATTCTATAAATAATCTTCTTGTGTTCCTCTGACTCTAACCATTTACATTGGAAAAAGTCACCCATTTTCTAGTGACCGGAGAATATTACTGGCATCAGATCGGTGAAATGACTGAAGAGCCCATGCAACTGCCGGAATTGGTGAATCTGAAAATATCCGAATTGTGTTGGGGTATTTTCGTCAAACAAAAATTTGAAGCATCGATTGACAATTGAGTATCGAATACTCATGAGACTCTAATGAACGGTGAAAAATAACTAACCCTGCCGAGCTACTGAATCGCCATCACCGCCCAGCGGATGAGTAAACATTGACGCCATAGAAAGTTGAAACTCACGGTTAAGAACAGAGAAATATTAAATATGGAAACATTTCACAAGTACAAACCTCAGATCTCGCGGGTTTGGAGAGTTTCGGGTCAGAGGATCGGCTTGACTCTTCAGGGTTACCGTCAACTGTGCCAGCACTTCCAACACATCCGCCACTGATAGAGGTGGCACCGTTGCATGACAGTGGCGTTGTAGGGCTGCTTCTGAAAGCCGGTTTCAAGGCGGAGTCAACTGCAACGGGCTTAGACCTGCGTTGACGCACGCTCCACTCAAGCGGCAAAGCCATCTGTTTAAAAGGAGCCGACGGCCTCGGGTAAGACTGGTTGAGCCGTAGCAGCAGCTCGACCACCATGTTATCGTCACTCATGGCTGCTTCCACCCACTCCTCGTCATCAGTCATGGTTTTCGCTTTATTATCTTATAGTGAGAGAAAGGAATATAGGGAGAGGTGAAAGGAGTGAGATGGAATGGTGTTGGCAAAGAAGAAGAAAAGAAAATCATATGGGATTTATAAATTAAATCATAGTAATAAATAGGGGGACACGAGTTTTATGCATGTGTGGTGAAAGTGCGTGTACTGTATTTGAGGATTAGTGCGTGTGTTGATGACTTGTGTTGATATTGAAAAATGATGAAAGGATTCTTCTTATTTTTGGGTCACTATTGGCAAATATGGGCCCACTTAAAATACGTGGCACAAACCGGCTGCTTTTATTACGGCCCATTTACTACTCTTCCATTTGCTTGTAGTACTACTTTAAAGATAGAGAAAACAATAAGAATTAGAACTTTTATTTGTATTTGTTTGATATTAGTCTAATTTAGTTTTGCTAAACATCATATTTTTAGTATATTTTAATTCATCATATTCCAATAAACGTTTTCTTTCTCGAGTCTTAACACGACACAAGTACTTCGATTGGTACCAAAATGAATGTAGACTAAAGCTCACCCCTTTCATATATGCTCCTCTGATCTCAATTTCAAATACTCTTGCACTAAGAGAGATCATTATGTATGCGCCGATGGTCCAACGATGAGGTGAGGAAGTATATATTTCTTTCTATCACGAACCAAGGAAGCCTAGCAAAATGATCTTAAGTAAAATTGGTCCAAATTTTGATCCATCACATCTTGTGGCCCTATACAACTAGATTTTTAGTGATATTTTGTCTCTTGCATAGATTCCAAAGCAATCAAATTTATTTACTTAAGAGTAATTTGGTTCGTGTCAAACGCGAGTTTATAAGTAAAAATATTTTGAAGTTTTTTTTTTTCCAAAGAAATATAAGGTTATGCTACATTGATTATCATTTTTTTCAAAATACATTTCTCTTTTTTTTTTTTCAACCGCACATTTTTCAATGAAATAATATTACACGCAAACACAACTTTTCTTTATTTTTTAATCGCTCATTTTTCATCAATCCATTATTTCGAAATGCATTCTTAACCTTTGAATGGGACTCAAACCAGCTCTATAGTTTAATTGTAAATAAGAAGATATGTTAAAATATGCAACTTACTTGATTTGATGAAAAATGTTTTCTTTTAATTTTTTTCTCTTTTTATTTACAATTATTGTTTTAAGCTTAGATAAGCGTGCACTTACTAGGTTTGACTTCTAGCAATCCATAGTTATAAGAATTTTTCAAGAACGATGAAATGAATATTTGTTATCGTTATCATTCAAATTTAAGTTGAAATCGATCAGAAGCTCATATTTGTTATCGTTATCGGCCAATGGAACGTAATGATAATTACACTCAGTTTCATGTCGAAACATGGAGAAAGTTAAAATGCCTTGCTATTCAAAGTTAAAAATGACTTAATTGCAGTAAAAAGGGGGGCAAAGGAAGAGAACAATTCTTGTGGTACATTATGGGATCCATAAGGGTCTACAATGTGTCCATTATGGATCCCATAATGTACCACAAGAATTTTTCAAAGGAAAATGGATGACAAAATATCGAAGAGAATTTTAGACCGGCAAATGAGTGAAAATTTCAAAGATATGGTCCAAGTGTCCTTTGTACTGATGGACCACGTGTCAAGCGTGCATTGAGTCGGTCCACGTACTCCATAACATTTGGCAATTTACAACTTCCCAATATGGTTGGGGGGTAGTTAGTTTGTTGGCGCCGTTTGCCCAATGCCCTTGTACACAATTCCAGGTCAATACAGAAAAATATTTTGACAATTTCATAAACATTTGACAAAATTTATAAATTATTCATAAGTTCATTTCCAATAATTTTAAATCTGAAGCTTATAAAACAAAAGTTAGGATTTTACTTTTAAGTAAAAATATTATATTTTGAAAGTAATTGTTAGTCGACCGTTACAATAAACATATTACTTATTTTTAATTTAATCAATAATATTTTCTATTTAAAAATTAATTACTCACAAATAATTTTCTAACACTGAGTAATACCTATGATATTTAGCACCAATTTACGCCGTAGTGAGATCCGCTATCTACAATTTATTAAAATCAAAAATTAAAAAATGATTACCACTCATAGTCCACATGTGTTTAATGGTGTTCAGTACCAATCAAGATAGTATTGTAGGTTCATCTTTAATTATTCATTTCAGATTATTAAATATGGGTTTTCATCACCACTTGTGTTTTTGGCTCCCATTAAATTATAATTCATTTTTCTCGATCTTCTTATCAACCACATATTATCCAATAAAATAATATTATACGTAAACCCAAAAAAATATATTTCTTTTTAACCATACAATCTCAAAAAAATTACTATTCATCTCATTATAATATGGAATAATGGGGTCAAGCGGGCGCTTAGGTGTGAGACGTGTTAAAGACACGAGTCACGTATGAGAGATTCGAATCCGGGAGTAAAAATAAGAGAGCAAAGTTATAGTTTGACTGTACAAAGTTGTACCTTCAAAATGACACTAGGTGTGGACTTTATAGTAGAAGAGAACAAATAATAACAGTTCGATGAAGAAACACGTGACTTCATCTTAACGGTCGAAGCGCCTTGTCATAGGCGTTGTTATGTCAATCCTAGGTTCAAGGACATTTAATGCTTCGACTATTAGTCACTCTATGACCCAGACCGACATATAAGGATTAGACTTAATATTTTGACTTGATACAGTGGCTGCTGCAATAAATGATCCATTAATTGATCCTGGAAAATCTTGTGTGAAAGATCCTTCTAGCGCCTCGCCTCGTCTACGAGAGTTCGACCTCTTAGGTCCTGTTTCATTGCAACGAATGCCATTAAAAATGTCACATTTGAGGTAAATGAATTCCATTTTGACCGTTTGATTGCAACGTGGAAATGAAAATCGAATTTCAAGGTACAACCACTTTAAACTGTTTTTTCTTTGTTTTCATGGAAAACGAATTCCTATGAATTTGGTGAATTTTTATTTTCCAACTAACATGGAATTAAAATTCATTTTCACATTTACCTATCAAACGGGTCCTTAATGTATATGTACCTAAACAATCAAAGATGACATCTTGTAAACTAATTACCTTAAAAGCAATGTAATCACGCATCTGAATTGAGTAAAAAAGTGAAGATTCAAAATACTTGTTCCAATTTGAAATCCAAGCATCGTGATTATAAATTTTAGAGAAAAATCAATTAATCTTTTCAAAATAAAAGGAAGAATAAAATTAATCTGTCGATGAGTCAATGTACTACGTATATCACAAGTTCTCAATTTTTTAGATTTTAAAAAACTTTCTAGATACCCGCCGAGGGTAGAGTGTGTTTCTGTCAAATTGACATTGAAAGGTATTACCGTAATTTCTCGAGTTAATTAGGGTAAAAAATAAGTGTCATTCCACGTGTCAGTTTATTAAAATGGATCCATAATCTAACGCCACATTCGGCGCTGCATACTTACTCGCACATCCTCACATGCAATGCGTGTTTACAAACAACTGCATTAATATGTTAAATATTAGAGCGTCGAAACCACGAAATATAAAGAGCGCTACACATGTCGCATTTAACAACACATATCTTTGTGGGGTCTTTTCGGCCCATTGAAACCCTAACCCAAACGGCCATTCTACGCCGTAGTTTCTTAAAACTCCCTAAACTTAGAATTATTTACGAGTCTGCCATCGCCGCCATCTCCTATATAACTCGCCCTTCAGTTTTTCTTTCTTGGGTTTGCCCAAATAAAGACCCGAATCTCTTTCTTCGTTTTCCTTTTTAGTTATTATTTTTTATATCCTCCATGGTACAATCAGTGGAAGCGTCGTCCTCAAGAACAAGATCGCAGGGTACAAGTCTGAACAGAAACTTCCAACGTTCCTTATCCCCATCGGGTCGGTTCTGCTCCTCATCAATATCTAATTCTTGTACATCGTACGTGTCGACCATGCCAGAATCTTTCATGACCCGGCCTTCTAGCCCGACTCGAGTCAAAATCTGCAGATCCGTTTCCCCTTCTCCCACCGTAAGGTTCTCTACCTCACACAGCCACTCAATCGCATCTTCACATAATCGGTATGGAAATCAGGGTGTCCGTGTCCAGCAGTTCAATTCGGGTCCAAAGAAGACGTGTATGTGTTCCCCTACGACGCACCCTGGGTCTTTCCGGTGCAGTCTACACAAGAACAACAATAGAAGCCGTGGGTACACCAGTGATAGCCAGACGTCGTTTCGGTCGAGTCACCACTTAAATATGCGGAGATCGGCGATGACGAATTCTCTGGTTAGAATCGGAACTGTCGAAGGAGATTTAGTGAAGAGAGCTCTAGCGGCTTTGATTCGACCTTCGTCACATCACCTGCGCCGCCGTGACGATTTCCAGCCGCGACCGAGCCGACTCTCGATCATGTCCAAAGCTCAAGATTGAATTCTACGTTTCAGTGCGTGTTTTGTACAGTTCCCGGTGCGGTTGAGCCGCGATTTTGCAGAAGTTGAGGATACCAGTTTTAGAAACCCTAGCTACGGAGTAATATTGTAGAAAACGGCCATCTCAATGAATGATTTTACTTTCATGATTCTCTTTTATTATTTTCTTTAAAAAAAATCGTAATCAGAAAAATAACTCGAAATTAATTGAATTCAAGAACAACCATTATAGTTTTTCGATTGATGTCTTTTCTTTTTGTACTTTTGGATTGTGTTGTGAATTGTATGTCGTTTGCGATCTTGCAGTGATTTTTGGAATTTCAAATTTGAGGATAATCAATCAATCCACACCTGGGATTCATGCGTCGGCGACTGTTGCTACTCCAACAGGTGATTCGGGTTAATTATTATTATTTTTTTTTCAAAATTAGTATTCTTGAATTTTCTGCTTTATTTTGTCCGTCCTTTTTCACATTTATAATAATAAATTCTTTTAATTGCAGGAACACCTGGGGCATGACAAAATGACTGACAGATTTATGGATTTGTACATGTATTGGACAGAAATTGCTATAAATATAAATTCATGTACCATGTTAGCAATTACGACAGATTTGTGTCAAGTCAATCTGCAACATAGGAATCCTTTCTTGGAATAAAAACAATAAATTGAATATTATTTGATGGGTTTTGAGGTTGAATATAATAAAACTAAAATTGTTTAAAACTTTGTAATATATATAGAGTTTGGGATTCATGGCTGTCAAAACATGTATCTAACTTTGGACTTGGAATTGA